CAGTCCTAGTTGTTCTATGCGAGTTAAACTCTTCGTTAACTTTGACACAACATGTTTCGCGCAAATTGCAGGTTACTCATTGAAATGTTGCGCGCATGGGGTGATGCTTTTCACAAAAAGGATTTGCAGCTTATTGTTCCTGTTGGACCTCCTTTGAATCCTGAAAAGTAAGTCTCAAAATCTTTCGTTGTTTTTCTGATTGGTAAGTTTTTAGCCGTCCTACTGGGATGTTCACACCTGGACACTTTTTCGCACTTTCTGAGAAAGTCGATTACGTTCAGGTTCGCTCAGGATTTCTTTGGTTGTAGTGCCACCTACTCACTCTCTTATACACAGATTATGACATACGACTATACGTCGAAGGACATGCTAGGTGTTGCACCTTATGACTGGGTGGATCACTCGATTGCAGCTGTTTTGGATAGACTACCAGAAGTGGCTGGACAATTGATGGTTGGTCTGAATTACTATGGTTACGAATATAGCGGCAGGAGCATAGAAGCAGTAAATTTTGACAAGTAAGCATTTAATTTTATTTCTAAGATTTATCTACGATTATTTACCTTTCTAGATATCTAGAGAAATTGAAGAAGGATGGAAATAAGTTGGAATGGGATTCAAAGGCGAAGGAGCATTTTGTAAATACTGGGTTAGTTTTGGCTCTCCCCTCCTACTGCTTTGTTTTCTAAATCGTGTTTTTCTAAGAGTTTATCCAATAAGTGATCACATATATAAGAAATCTGCAAAAACGATGCGAGTCACAGTAGCCAAGTTAAGAACAGTGTAGTTACAAAAGCTTTGGCGTTGAATGCCAGCTTCAACAATTCCCCAGCACTTCAGCTCTATCTCGATTGAATTGAAGCTCGCATTGATTTTCAGAAGTTCAAAAATATACTATCCTTCGCTTACATCAATCGAGATGCGTCTTAATGCCGCTCGAAAGCATGGCGTTGGTGCAGCTATCTGGGACTTCGGGCAAGGATTGAACTATTTCACACAACTTCTATAGTTTGAAATTATCTGAATCGATTTTGTACGAGTTTACAAGAGATGTCTCACGTGTCGAAACGACACAGGTTTATTTGTTCAGTTTTCTTTTCGGGTATCTCTACACTTCCGAGAATCTATGATATTTCTGCATGATATTTATTATCGTTGTTGTCCTCAAATAAGACATTAACAGCTTGTTGATTATTAGATTTTGCAGTTTTTACCCACGGAGTTGCCATTCCTCCCCGCTTGGAGTTTCCACAGACTGACACTTAAATCTAAAATAAGTATTTATCTAGAAAAATTGCATCTTAAGGCTTGATGAGTATATACGCAATATTTTAGAATGTTCGCAATGTCTTGCCTTGACAAGACGAGAATAGCTCATCGACATGAATATTACAATTAGGTACCAGTGGGATACCAAGGAGTAATTCTGCACAATCATTGATATAACTCACAGTGATAGAATGTCGTAGTGTGAAATGAATGGAAGGAAAGAAGATGATGCAGTAGTAAACAAATAGAATGTCGTAGTGTGAAATGAATGGAACCATTGTTACCTAACTGCACAAACATTGTTAGCTGCTGCAAATAGAAAAAAGAGAAAATCTGTAAGTTTCTTAGAAATACACAGTATAATCACGAGGATAATCCCTCGTACAGCGACAATGCATGAACAATTGATGGGTCTGCCTTGGCTCCTTCTTTGAACTCCTCCAGTGTTAACTGCGCGTCGTTGTTCTGAAACTTTTAGGCTTCAAAGTTTGGTGTTGTGATGAGTAGTAAGAGGACTACACATTGAAAGTGGATGAAATGCTTGTACATGTATATGGTGAATAGCGTTTTATTTCCAGCTAATCAAACCTGTTACAATAAATATTACGAAAGAGTCAAATTTGCTTGACGTTCTGCACATCAATTAACGTCATTAATGATTTTAACAGTAATAAACACTGTCTACATGTTTTGCATCCATATTTTTACCCCAAAATTTTGATTTCTGCATTAATACCGCATCTTAAGCATGAGGGTTGCCACTTAACATCGTTTATCAATACAAGATTTTTGCGCTCGCCTGAGAACGAAGATAGCCTTTCATCCTGACAAAAATATGAAATTCGACATGTCTTACGATAAATTTAGT